AACTTATACTTTTTGAAAATATCAATGTATTGAATTTCAACAATCAACCGTAAAAATGTGAATAATTTTTGATTAAAATAAGAGATGAACATTTTTTAATACAATAATTTCTATTAAAAAATATTTAAGTACAAGAATAATCATAAGAACGATTAATATTTAAGCTGATAACTTATATAAATGACGTCTTAGAATCACGCTACTTTTTATTGTACTGTTTACTAGAAACAATAGAAAACCAAATTTATTTATTAAAATGTTGATGATACTTGTCCTTATTACCTCGTATTGATACAGTCTCATATTATTTTAATGTACAAGGCACTAATAATATCGGTGAAATTCGAATGAAGGGTGCAACATGAAATATTACATTGTACAAAAAATTCGTATTTGGCTATCCACGTGTAACATATGTTTTGAACTTGTAAGTTCCATGAAAATAATAAGTTTGTAAAAATGACTTTTTTAATTTGTTTATCTTAATCTCATCTTTATTAAAAATACTTCTGTGGTGCCTTGATACTGTTTTAATTTTCAATACAACACAAAAGATAATATCGACATACATAAGTCCTGTGCTCACTGAATATTTCTAAAGCAATAATAGACCTGCAACAAAATAAAGACACATATAGAAAAAGAAAACCAAAGAAGCCATTTGAAGAAAAACAAAAAAAAAAAAAAAAAAAAAACAGCGTGGAAGGAAGACGTCCATCGTCGTGGGTAGAGTCGTTCGCAAGAGGAAAAAGAACGATTCCCGTGAAGACAGACGATGACCGAATACGAAAGCTGCATCGCTCGAATGCCTGTAAAAACGTGTGGATGTATACGGATGCAGGGTTATAAGCATTGAAAAAAGGGGGAAGAAGGGTAGGAAAAGCAGGAAATAATTTTGGATTTTTTTCGTTGCTTGGAGATGTGATAGCCAGCCCTATGATCAATCCAAGCTTATTATAGGCTTTTTTTTCTCACTTTGGTTTTCCAGCAAAGTTTGCTTATTTGCCAGAACTGAATGTAGAGGCTTCTTTGATGGTTGAGGGTTCATCTGACGACTGTTTGTGTTGCTTTTGTTGGTAAAAGGATTTTGAACTTAGTTCTGAGTTTCCAGTTCGTAGTTTTCTGATGAAAGTTTTTTTTTTTGGGGCTACTTTTTTATTGGTTTTAACAATCATGTCAGAAAAATTCTATATAGTTACTATTATTCTTAATAATTATCAATACTTTTTTTTCCAATGCTACGTTCACTAAATTTTTACGCAATAATCAAAACACATTTTTAACAATACCTTCATTGTATTACTGCTCATTAACTTCAAAGATTTCAAGCGATTACATTGTAGTTTTAACAATAAAAAATTACAGGGTAAACTTTTTTTAACTTGTTTGCATGAACCAAAAACATGTATCTAAAGTCCTTTCTTTCACTATTTGCAGTATGCTTTTTCGTACGCTACTGAGTTACTAAGTCGAACTTTTTCACACTAGAAAATAAATTTTGCAAAGTCCATAAGAGTTTTGTTGATTCAATCGTGTGAATTCTACTAGTAATATTCCTTATGTTCGAAACGATGTTTAATGGAAATAGGAGAATGTCTAAACAAAAAACTATAGTACATTATCATACTGAATTTCATATGCAAACTAATTGAGTTTTATTTTAGTTTATTGAAAATAACAAATTTTTTTCTAAGCTACAATCAAAAAATCACGAATTTTTTCGTGTGTTAAATTACTAAGGTCAAACCTAAAGTCCAATTTAATTTGTCAATAAAATTTACTGGTGTCATAAAAAAGAAGTACGTAACTACGCAGTTAGCGTTTTAATATTTTAAATAAATATGGCATTCTTGAGGGTCACGATTTAGAGACTACAAAAAAATTTTTTTTATCTTTGCCATTCGTGGTTTAGGTAATCTTTATTAAACCTCAGTAAGTCGTATACGTTGGAATGCAAATTAAATTTAGTTATCTGTACATGACAATATGTTATGTAAAGACCTATAAGTAGATTAGTCCAATTCACAATAGTCCATTTGGATAAAGTTTTCGTTGAACCTTCAAACTGAGTTGTTTTTGCTGAATTAAGAATTCACAAAGTTTTTACGAAAAGGCAAGTCGTTGAGTTTCAGTAATTTTGTACTAAAATTACAGCTATTTATTAATTGTGTTAAAAAGGCATATTTATCTGCCATTTTCGTTCCAATGTTAGTTAAATCCTACTTTGTAATGCAGAATAATCTAGAAGGTCCTCTATTTAGTTTCTTAACACAACCACTTTGTACCACAAATATATTAAAACTTAAAAAATACTTTTTTGCCTCTATTATCACATAAATTAATAAAGTTATGCAGCTCATTATTTGAATTTAAAAGCTTAAAGTGATATTATTTTCTTACGAAACGTTGTTATCATCATATAATTATTTAACTACGTAATAAATTTATTAAAAATTTTGAACACGAAAAAAATTTACAAAAACTTTTATTACGTTGCTGAAAGAATCAATAAAGTAATTAAATAATTAAAATTAAAAGACTCCATGNAAGCCAATAATGCTTTTAGGAGTGATATTGGGTTGGCGACCAGTCATTTTAATGTTGAACAAAACGAAGGTGCTGAGAATATTGACCACCGCTTTCATGTTTAAAACGCCATGAGAATATTAGCTAATATTCTGTCCTTCAATAAAAAAAAAAAACCAATGGAAAGTGACATGAATTCTAGAGTAGTAGCTGAAATAGCCGTCGAAAATTGTACAAAAATTGAAATGCACTTGTAAACAACGGAGACGCTATGGGAGGAAGAAATATTGATAATATATTTAAAAAATGGTAAATGTATCACATTTTTTACGGGTTCTGTAAGAGTTAATATTTGTGTAACTGATAAAAATATTCAATGAAATAAATAAATAATTGTTCTAAAATACGTAAAGGTTTTAAAATAATAACCTTCTTTGTGTTATTAATCAGACTCTCCAAAACATTTATCAAATGAATTATAACATGCCAAGAAATAAAAGAAAGTTCAGTAATAATTTGTATTAAACGAAATTTCCATCACTTTCATCATGCGACAATTCTTAAAACAACGGGATACTCAGATAGTAGGATTTCAATTAATGATTGCTTTCGACAGGTATAAGAATACAAAGTCAAAAAGCCCGGTAACTGCAGTCTGTTCAGGATTCGCCCTCAACAACATGAATAACGCACTAGTAAGTTTAATTAAAAATTGCTTTAAATTTAGTATATCCTTATAGCTACTTTGTAAAAAAATAATGTTACAAAATCGAATATTTTTTAAAAAATCACGGATTTCGAGAAAGTTTGAAATATTAAAAAAAAATCAAATTTTTAGTTAAAATTGTACATCAAATGTATATTGTTAAACGGTTATTAAAAATTGTTAACAGCATGGATAATATCTCTTAATTTTTTAAAACACTTGTTGGCATCACACATTTTTATAAAAAATTGTGACGCATTTTCCACAAGAATATATCATAGTAATACATTGTTTTCCATGAATTAATTTTGGAGAGTAATGTGTTTCGTGGGTTTCTCGATTCGTGAACAAATAATGGCACAGCTCGTGGTTAAGTCACATTATTAGAACTTCTTATCTGTGTGGAAAAGAACGCATGTCTCTCGCTAATCTCCCCAACTACTTATCTGTCCTTTGCTTCGCTCTTCCTCTCCTATAGCTTCTCTTCTCTATTTCCCTACCTTTTCGGGCCCAGAAGGGGGTGCACGGACGCATAGCTATATGCTGTACATAACAAATGTTTTTTATTGAAGAATTTCAAAACGCGATGCCTTACTTTAGCCAATCATCTCACGAAATACATAACTTTTTAATCGTTTTTTCATTTATTATTCACGAACTGTAGACTTTTGTATCTTTTTAAAGTAGGCACGGAAAATTTAGAAAGCAAATACATGAAGTATTGAAATATGTAAAAAAAAATTTCAGGTACTCATAATTTTGGTTTCCATCGGTATTACTGGTAGTCGCAGTCAAGCCAACGATTTCTCTACTGGCTTGTATAGTGAATCTGATTCAAGCAATAAAAATTTTTTCAACAATGGTGGTAATACAAACTCACATGAATTCGCCTTGAACACAGCCGAGGCAAAAAACGATGCTACAACTGAATCAAAACCTGGAATAAACAACAACAATGGTTTTAATCAAGGTAAAAATTCCATGTCACAACCCAGACGTATGACTAGGGAGGAAGCTAGGCTCCAAGTAGAAAGGGATCTAATGCATATTAATAGAGGTCCAAAAACCAATGTAGAATCCAAGGGATCCGTCAATAATAATGTACAGTTTGGCGTCGATGGTAAACAACTTTCGAATCAAGATATCCAAACTGGTTTGGACCTTGATGATCATTCTAAACCATCTGCCAACGGACAATCGAATCCAGAGTATACTAGACATGGTGACTCAGTTAACCATTATAATCCTTCTACAAATCGAGCCAACAATGGCTTGGCAAATGTTATGGGGTCAGGGATGGGCGCACATTTGGGAGCTGATTTTAACTTTCAATCCAAAGCATCGGCTAACGGTAATGGGCGAGTTGGTATTAATGGCAATTACGACGCAAACCAGCTTACAAATTTTGGAGTTGACGAGAATTTACATCCACATGCTTACGGAATCAATCGGCACAAAGATGTTTTTGATGCTGGAGAAAGGACCGAACCTCTGGCGGAAAATGGCATGGGAAATGTTATTAGGTCACGGAGGAGCGCAAATTTGGGAGCTGCTTTTAATCTAAGATCCAAAGCATCTGCTTACGGTAATGGGCAAGTTGGCAACAATGGCAATTACATGTCGGATCAGCATAAAAATGTTGGCGTTTACGGAAATTCACATCCATATGCTGAAAGATACAAGGGTAATGTTGGTACGGTTGATCAGTATGGTCCTTTGAGAAATACTTGGGACCACGAAATGAATTATGGAAGAACGGTAGGAAAAAGGAACATTCCCTCAGTTGATGGACAGGAACATCAAAAAAGTATTGATGCTGGAGAAAGGACCGAACCTCTGGCGAAAAATGGCATGGGACATAATATAAATTTTGGAGTTGGTTTTAATTTAAGACCCAGAGCATCTGCTTACGGTAATGGGCAAGTTAGCAACAATGGCAATTATATGTCAAATCTGCATAGTGGCGTTAACGGGAAATCACATCCATATGCTGATGGAACGAATCGATTCATTCGAGGTAATGCTGGTATGGTTGGTCAGCATAGTTTTTTGCAAAATCCATAAACACAAATAATAGGTACTTAAGCCCAAATTTGAAAGTAGCAGTAGAAAACCCGTATATCACCTTATTAACTGGAAATTATTATATCGAGAATGTATAGATGCTACAAAAATGGCTGATATCCAAGCCAATAATGCTTTTAGGAGTGATATTGGGTTGGCGACCAGTCATTTTAATGTTGAACAAAACGAAGGTGCTGAGAATATTGACCACCGCTTTCATGTTTAAAACGCCATGAGAATATTAGCTAATATTCTGTCCTTCAATAAAAAAAAAAAACCAATGGAAAGTGACATGAATTCTAGAGTAGTAGCTGAAATAGCCGTCGAAAATTGTACAAAAATTGAAATGCACTTGTAAACAACGGAGACGCTATGGGAGGAAGAAATATTGATAATATATTTAAAAAATGGTAAATGTATCACATTTTTTACGGGTTCTGTAAGAGTTAATATTTGTGTAACTGATAAAAATATTCAATGAAATAAATAAATAATTGTTCTAAAATACGTAAAGGTTTTAAAATAATAACCTTCTTTGTGTTATTAATCAGACTCTCCAAAACATTTATCAAATGAATTATAACATGCCAAGAAATAAAAGAAAGTTCAGTAATAATTTGTATTTTTTTTTACTTTATGTAACAATATAAGCCCAAAATATTTTCTTAATATATTACACGCCCTATTATATTCAAGAAGACCTGATAGGACAATGGATGTACGGTTCAATGTGTGCATTTCCACCATTTATCTGATAACTGTATGAGGTTTTGTCTAATTGCATATGGTCTATGTAATAAAGTACGATAAGTGTTACTTAAGAAATTTAAATAACATTTCTGTTTTATCCTGATTTATCATAAAATACGTCGAAACAATCAGAAAAGTTTTATTCCATTTTATTAAATTTATTAAACTTATGAAAGTTAGATGTACCAGCCAGACTAAAATGTCATTACTACAATCAATCTATACCAGAAATTTCACGTTCAAGATGCAGTTTATGAGTACAATCATTTTTTATAATAACATCGCTCTCTTACATTATTTAGTTACATTAACGCACGCCGGAAATCTTTTAAGAAACGGTGTATGCGTGGGTATACCTTATATTTTTTTTGGAGCAAGTATTGTAACCGCTAATAAACCGTCTATTTTCGATGTCAATCAAATTTTTCACCTTATATGAGGCTGGTCCGAGTAGACCTCATGGGATATGTGAATAAATTTTTTTCACTTTAGTCAACTATTGTCTAATCAAGTTTGAGCTATGAAAGCGAGAGACAAACTTTGTTATTATTGATGATTTACATTTGGAAATGCTTCACTAAAAGGAAAAATAGTAGTTTTCGTCGGATAAGTGCCATCGTCTCAGGGGCTATTTTGCGGCCCAAGGGACCTGCGAAGCATTTTTGCTATTTTTCCTATCGAGGGCACACCAGCCCCTCAAAAACACCCCCTACAAAGGTAGGAAAATAATACAAAAAAAAACAGAGAACAATAGGCATGAAATAAAGTACTCTGATTTGTATGTTAAATTTTTGTATCCCATGAAATCCTAATATAGTTAATGACTAAAATAGTTATAAAATATTTTTTATGCGTTTTTAACAAAACCCCTCAACCGATCGGAAGCTTCCTCTGCGAGTTTGCATTGAAAAAACTATTCAAAACATGGAAAAATTAGATTTAGGGTAAGAACTTTACTTGAAAATTTTTTTCCCAAGTCAGACGCACTTTTCAACAGTATTCATTGTATCAACCACATTTTCTGTAAAAAAAAAAAAAAAATTTTTTGACCTCATAAAACATTTGCAGCTCACTCTTTGTAGCCATTTTTTTCGGATGAAAGAGTTCGTTGTGCTTTTCACCACCTCGAAGCTATATGTATAACGAAATCGGTTCATCAAATGCAAGAGTCCAAGGTGCTTGAACTTTGAAAACAAGAANAAAAAAAAGTAACTAAACAAAAGAAAAGTAACGCACGCCGAAAACAGAGCAAGGGAAAAAAAGAGGTTGAGCAAGAGACGGAAAAAGGGTAAACAGAGCGCGAGAGGTGCGATCTGATGAGCACAAGAAGACCCGAGAGCCCCAGCTGGTACATCCACCCAGGGAAGAGGAGGCACGTAACGAGAGAAAAACGCGACCGAAGCGGAGCCAGGGAAAGATAATAAAGGAGAGAACGACAGAGGGATTAAAAGTGCGGGAAACAAGAAGGTGGGGGGGGAGCAATACGTGCTCCGTGGGAGTGGGAGGAAGGGAGCCCACGAATGGCCCGCGCCGTGGAGGCATGGAAAGCGTAAATCTGTCGTTGCGCCCATATCGCGGAATCGTTTCGGGCTTTTGCTTGCACTTTGAGCCGGGCTTACTTTCTCTCCCTCTTTCATGTCAGATTTTTTATTATTCGTTTCACAGGTTTGCATGCGCGAAACGTAGGGCTGGGAACTTTACGTAGTTCCGATGGTGGGTATGCGTGTGCCAGCGCAGAGAAAAATTTTCCAGTCCATATCCAGCCACGTATTAATTAAAATTGAAAAACAATCACCGACGTTTGTGAAATGTTGAATTTTTGTGACAAAAATTTTAGAACAAAATGTTTTTAATGTTGGACAATTAATAAGGTGTCACTAGCTATATTGGAAATTCATCATTTCTGGGCAGCTTTTATCTTTAATCATGATTTTATGTAATTTTGCCAAATCTACCGTATCACGAAAAAAAAAAAAAAAACAGGTTATAAGTATGACATTTTCGTTGAGAGTGAGTAACTTATATTTATCGATTCGTAAGACAATACTACGTCTGATGACATATTTAAAAATTGAATTATTTCTCATTTTTTTGTTCGTCAGTAGTAAGAAGTTAAAATGGTTAATATTAATGGAAATTTTCATCAGCTGCTACAAAAAAATTTTAATGACAGTTTACAGATGAAAAAGAGGTGTAATGGCACTCATTTTTTTCTTGTAATCTAAAATATCGGTGGGAAAGTCGACGGTTTCTAAATTTAAGAAGCCTTTTGTACTTATACTGCTTCTTCTTTTGGAAGTATATTTAAATGAATGCTTTTTCATTTCTTTTAAATTTTTGGTCGCAGATAAGCCAACGCATAATTTTACCGTACGCATGCTCTCTTACGCCACGTACGTAATGCTTTTTTTTATTATATTGCATACAGTACATTCAAAAAATTTGTTGTTATGTTTTTTTTAATGAATTTCTAATTTTTCCGTAGTTTCAAAAACACATGGGCAATATTAGCACTTCAAATAAATAGGTGAAATTTTGAATTTTTTTTTGCTTTATATCTTATATTATAGGAAAACATTTTTACTAATCACAATCTCATTCCAAAGAGCGCCTCTGTATTATTACTAAAACTATCTTTAGTACATATGTTTAGTACAGGCTTGTTTATTATGCATCCTTTTTATCCATTCTGCGTTGACAATGGAAGTGCATTGAAACAGTAGAAAATCGGGTAGGGGGCAGTGGGGGGCGGTGGGGGTAAGAAAAATCATATGGAGGGGCAGTGGGGGGTTCGATCTAATATTTATTGGGTTTAAATAACGTAGAAATAAGATGAACTTTACCTTAATTTGTGGGGGACAGTGGACGGTCGGTGGAGGATCTTTTGGGGGGTAGTAGGGGGTTACGTGGAATACACCACATATCTAACTATTAAATATAGAAGGATAAAATAATTGTACGTATAAAAAATAATTTTTTTTAAATTGACTATCCTTTCAAAAAAATTTTGTTCACTGCATTTTTTTGATAACTACAAAGTCATCGTATATTTTCGTGTCCTTATTCTGTATAAGTGACTAGCAGTGTTAGATCATTAGTTTCTCAGTTACCGCAAAATCATATTATTATATGGTTATTTTTTGTCATTAATGACTGCTGTTTTCTTGTACAAATATAACTGGCTTATAAATACTATTAACTGTAAAAATTATCAACAGTTATTATTAACATTATTATTAAGAATTAAAACTATTTAGTTAAGCTTCATAGCAAAACCATGTAGTTTTTAACTCACATTTTTTGCTTTTCAAAAACTATGTGATTTGTAAAACACCGTGAAGTAATTATAGGTTTGAAAATTTACCAAAAAACTACCGTATAAGTTGTTAAAAAGAAAAAATGTATAGATATAACATGATTTCTAAGAATCATATGTTATTTCAAGCAAAAACACAGTGTATGAATTTTTCAAAAACCATATGTTTTTTTTGAAAACCCCGTGACATTTGAAAGTGTATTTATGACAAAAATGGTTACACATAGTTTGGTCATGTTGTTTTATCGCACAGTTTTACTTATTTGTATTAAAACGTAAGTCTAAAAATCAGCAAAGCATTCAATGGTCCAATGTCACCGGCGAAAGAGGGTATCACGACCGCATATAGGTATACATCATGGCAGGCTCACATGCATAATAGCATAATATATAGTTGCACAGCGGGAGTTTCCGGTTTCCCTTCCTCCAAGGAAGCCACGCTCTTCTATTACTTACGTTATATATAAAAATACGTCTCACCACTCCGGAGAAGCATCCTCGTATTTTTACAATCTCGCCCCCGGTTATTTATCTGATCAAGTCTTTCGCGCGAAATGCTATCATAATTTCTGCAACGACTATGGCCCTTACGGACGATTCGTGGAATGTAAGTTGTTTGTCGATTTCTGAAATTAAAGTGCCCGCGAAAACAGTACAAATGCGATCCTACCGATGACGCTTTTAGTGCATCCGTGATTCCGCTTAACTCAAACGTGTATGCATGTATATACGTGTATGTATAAACTAAGATCTAAAAATTGACATAAAATAATTATTGTTAGCAAAACAAATTGTGTTTGTCATAACCAACTAACCCTTACGTTTCCCGTTTTGTCCTCCTCTTTCTACACTTACCCCTGGGTCTGCCAAACTGCCCCCTTCAAATGTACCCTTACAAATTTGTGTAGCATAAAAATAAACACTTCATAAAAAAAAAAAAAAAAAAACATTTACGTGTATTGAATTATGTGCCCATATTCGTGGGTGTACCATCAAATAGTAATGCAGGAGGGGAGAGATTTTGCGGCGCGTGTTTCTCACACATGTAATATACTTACATAGGAACTCATAGTACTATTCGTGGGCAGTCGATGACAGATTTACAGCTGACACGAGAATAGGTACATGTGTATATATGAAAGGCTATATAGCAGAGCGTATAATATAGGTAGTAGTTGGTATAGCAGTACGGAAAACTTGAAAAGAGTATGTACGAGTTTGGGACTGCTACATTTAGATTGCTGGCTTCTCATATTTTACTCTGATAAGATGAAAATAGAAATATTGAGGGGTAGAATGGTTTAATGCCTTGCGTTAATTTTTAATCGATGCTTAGTTTTTAAATTTTATTTACGGATGCATCGTGCGTATACATTTTGTACATAAATATATACATAAACGAGGGGGGATATGTCCCATTGGAAAAACTGCAAATTTCAAGTATTTATCCAAATGACACATGAAAAGACACTTTGAATACTCTTTGACTGTAGTAATTACAATTTTTTTTTTTTTTTTTAATGTAGACGGAAAAAGGGTAAACAGAGCGC